ATTCACAGACAACAATTATGCAACAGGTACGCCGCTGCTGGACATTGTCTATAAAGGGAAGTAGCGGACACAAAGCAGGCAGTCGAGTTCGGGACGGTAACGCTACGGTTTAGATTAAGAATTCTGATTGTAATTAAGTAAATAGAATAAACTGTGTTAGATTCCAAAATTTGTGTTGTAGATTTTTAACTCGTAATTAGAACTATTGGGCGCGTTGGCCCAACTAAATTATTTTTTTGACTTATACGGACCTAACGTCCGTAACTTCCATATTAAATCTAGGAAATTATTTTGTGCTTATTTCTTTCAAAACGAAAAAATTTGTCATCTGATGACAAAATTAGGAATGACTGAATGTTTCTATCATTGTATAGGCTTACAAGTATGGAAAGCGCCATTTTGTTTGTTTACATTTAAAAAAAGCTAAGATTACCTGATTTTCAATTCTCTCATTCTCCGCACAGAGTAACATTCAAGTTTCAGAACGAAAAATTACACTGAAGATGGCACAACGCCGAAACCGGTTTGTCTCCAAACCAAATTTGACAAGGGATGACGGAAAATCGTTCCACATTACATCCCACTCCTACCCTGTCGGAAATACCAACAACAAAAATGAGAATTTCAGAAAAAAACTTTAAAATGTAAATTGGGAAATATTTTAGAAAAATGTGTTTTTATTCATTTGAATTGATTAAATTAGAAACTAAAATTGCATGCCAAGTCTTGCATTTCCAATAATAACGATAGATGTGTATGTTCCAGGCAATAATTAAATATATTTGTGAAACTTATCGTTTTTGCGCTAAAATACAACAATGTGTGTAAAATTCGTTGTCATTGTTTCTGTTTTGAATACTATATTCGTGCCTGCCGGTGAAAAAAATAGGTAAATTTGCATTTATTTTTAAGAAAACATATAAATTCAAATATATTTCTTTCCAGAGTGACATACGGAGCGTACCTGTGCACAAGGGTATATTAATTTTGTTCACATAACGGTTGTTTGTAACAGCCAAAACGAATCGAGATAGATATAGACAAATGTATAAATAAATGCTCAGAATGAATAGATGAATCGATTAAGCCATGTCTGTCTGTCCATGTACACGATAACACAAGCAAAAATTGAGATATCTCAATGAAATTTGGTACGTAGGTTTCCGTTAATCCAAGGTAGGTTGGTATTGAAAATGGGCGAAATCGGACTGTAACCACGCCCACTTCCCATATAACGGTAATTTCCAGAAATACGAAAACTACGATATTTTAGTAATTACTGAAGATAATTCACTCAAAATTGATATTTACAATAACTTTCAGACGAAAAATAAGAATATTATAAATTTTTGGAAAATGGGCGTAGCCACGCCCACTTATGGTTACATGTGTATATATTGGTAACCGCTGCACCAGTTTCTTCCTAACTTGGCACAGTTGTTCGCCTTGATACAGCATACTAAATGGCCGAAAATTTAAAAAATCGGACAATAACCACGCCCAGATCCTATATAACGGTAATTTAGAGAAATTCAAAATCTTCGATAAATCAGTAAATATTAAAGCTAATTTATTCAAAATTGATGCTTGCAACAATTCTTTACCAAGAAATACGCTTATGGTAAAATTTTGGAAAATGGGCGTGGCATCGCCCAATTATGATCACATATATGTATATCGGTAACCGTTCTACCAATTTGTACCAAACCCGGCATTTTTATTGTGCTTACCACATAAAAGCAAAACGTTGAAAATTATTAAAATCGGACTAAAATTACGGCCGTTTTTCATATAACGGTAAATTTCAGAAATGCTTGAAACTGCAATATTTCGAAATTTAAGGACGCGAATTTACTCAAAATTGATACACCCCGGCTTACCATCTAGCGGTAGCTTTCGGAAAGGTAAAAAAA